AGAAGATCCCAACGACTACAGCAACAATCATCAGAGATCCCGAAGAGATCAGGACGGGGTACAATAAGGGTACGCCTTGATCTGTAATGGACAGAATGGAGGTGAATGTGTCTGATCTACACCAGAAGACAGAGATCAGGTCAGTAAACCCACACACACATATATGACGAGTGGTGCTGTACCTGCACATGTGTGTCTGCAGAGTGTGTTGATGTCCAGATGTGTGGTCTGGTTGCTGATGGGATTGTTCAGCACACAGCTGTAGGTGTTTTTATCCTGATATTCCACCTCCAGAGGTAGAGAGAGACTGATGCTGAGATCACACACACTGATGCTGGACAATACACTCATTCCTGCGTACCAGGACAGAGTCGCATCACACACACTCAACACTGATGATGAACACACCAATGAACAATTTGAAGAACATTGTGAAGAGTTTCTGATGATGACAGGAACAGGCAGACGAGCTGAAAAACATGAGAGAATAAAGAGAGATATGGGTAAATCTACTCAACAATCTTATTTTCAGTTCAGTGTGTTCAATGATTATTTATATAGTCCATTATTTAAAACTATAAAATGATCCAATTCAATATGTAAAAATAAACAAATATTTGAAGGACAGGACGATCTCTACTCACCATAGACAGAAACACTGAATGTTTTTGATGATCGTTTCACTCCCTTTATCTCTAGTGTATAAACTCCAGTGTGTTCAGTTGTGGTGTGTGTGATGGTCAGAGATCCAGTTTGATCGTCCAGCTTCAGTCTGTCTCTGAATCTCCCATCAGGAACATCATCATATGTGGTGAAGATTCGCCTGTCTTTGCTGATTTTAACTATCAGAGAGTTTTCAGCTCCATATTTCCACAGTATGTCATCATCTTCAGATATTTCAGTAATATTAGTATTTAGAGTAACAGAATCTCCCTCCATCACTGACACTGACTCACCAAACACACCTGGAGAACACACAGATTTACACAGATTAATGTTTCTGATGGTTTCCTGAATCCTGAAGCTGTAGTTTTTATCATTTACATGTGAACTGTCGAACATTCACAACAGCAGCAGAACCACAAAATGAAGGTGAGATATAAGTGAACCTCGATCTAAAATCAGTGTGTAAAGTCACATGTTCATTACCATTTCAGAGCAAAATCCTGAATTCAAAAATAGTAGATCTCACAATATTTAAGATATCGTTTCATACGGCAAAGATGAAAATAGTCAAGTAAGCAGCAGCTTTATTAATCCAAAAAGAAATTAAATCATAAAAATGTGTTTCTAACTCACCAGTCAGACTCCAGCAACACAAACAGAATAAAACAAACACGTGAAACATTTTCTCCAGCAGTTCAGTGTGTGATGAAACGATCCACTGGAAACACTCAGTCTATATGTGTGTGTATCCTCCCACGACACGGTTTGACACTCCTACTTTCACAAGTCGTATTTGCACATATGTTATAGTTCACCTGCCCTTATTTAACTGTTCTTAATGGGGGAAAATATGATTATTTTTATTGATTAACATACTTTTTGTAATATTGTTGCCTGACTTTGTTAAATGGCTAAATAGAAGAAATGTGTGAATTGTGTAATAACTGCATGCAACCACTTCTAGTGGTTTTAAAATAGTTGTGTATATTTATTCAGCTCTCAATTTTAGTGAATGGAAAACCCAAAGTAAAAAGTTAAAACCATGTATGGTCTCACATTACTAGTTTTACTGACGTTCATCCTCTGAGTGAAAGTGAAACTGCTGCGGCCGGTGTTCTTCAGAGATGTGGTTTGACCTGGTGGGTCTACAAACATGTTGTGTGTGGGCATAAGTGTGTTTAGTTTGTAGGCCAGGGGCCTTCATTATACTATGAACAGCTTTTGAAAGACCCCCTGTGGTGAATATCAAGTTTTTTATGTTGTTTCATATTATGTCCATGTGGTGTTTTATCACATGCTTTAAGACATGCATGTCCACAGTCATCAGTCAACATCATTGTTGAGTATTCTTGAATCTGCAGTGATACTTAAAGTGAAGAATACTTAAAATATACTTAAAGTGAAACTTCAAGCCAAGAGATTTCACAGTTCTCAAATGTGAAAAACTCAATTCACAAAAGCCTAAAAACCTCTTAAGAGACAATAATTATGTGCCTTGCAGTCTCAGATTATATTAAGATTTTTTTTTTGCATCAGCCAAGTTGAGCATAAATGTAATAAAAGCAATTAAAGCCATTAAAACGGATCTGGTTAACCTATAACTGCTAAATCTGTGAATTTGTCATTGAATTTGTGATTTTACAGTTTGTTATCAGAAATAACTGAGCGTAAGTATCTCTAAATGTTTTCAGAAACTGACTCCTTTAAGCACACACTTACACAAAGAACTAAAATACTCAGACTTTCAAAGACTTAAACTACTTTTTGTGCGTGTGTTATTGTTGCTGTTGTTATCTACAATCACCCCACAGACCCATTCATTTGGAAAAAGTGGTGAAAATGAAGCTCATCTTTAATTTTCTCAGGGTAGTCTTCTTAATACACATCCACGGTAAGACATTTATTTCTCTCTTTCGATCAATGATCAAATAATCAAAGAATTAATCGTTCTTTCGACGGTTTAACGCTGCTTTCCCCCCAACAAACCCTGAACGCGTCAGAGCGGTTAAAAAAAGCACATCACGAAACGTCATTACGTCATCGCACCACAGATGCGCCTCGCCTCGTCTGCAATATAGTCGAGAGTAGGCGGCTGCAGTTAGAGGAGGAGAGAAAAAAGCGGAGTCAAGCCGGACAAATCTCGCTTCTCGAAGTGGGTCTGACACCTGTGAGATCAAAGTCTGATATCGCGGGATTCACGCTCGTGCACGTGTTGCTAATTAAACTGGATGTAATTTTAAGTTCTGTTGCTTTTATATGAAAATAAATATAATGAAGACACCCAAATTACTTGTTTTTTAATTACATTCCAAATATGTGTTTATCAATATTTTTTTCTTTAATGCAGATGGTTTTTTTTATATATTGGTTTTTTTTTTAATAAAAATATAATGTTTATAAAAAATCATATTTGAAATCACATAATAACCCATATGGCACTGTCAGAGAGTGTATTCACCCATAACAAATATTTATAGGCCTACTACACATAAAACATGATATCAGAGTTTTAAAATCAAACATGTTAAAAGAGAAAAATACATCACGGTTGTTTAAACCAATGAACATTAAGCTGTGTCGTCAGCAAGTCGTTTCCCATCATGCTTTTGATCAGCGCAGTCGGCGGAGAGCAACTGCGCGCGACTGCAGAATCCGACAGGTGCGCTTTGCGCTCGCGAGAGTTTTTTGACATACGTCGGCATGACATCAGAGTCAGGCGGACCGTTCTCGGACACATTTCTAACCGGCATGCATCTCGCGCTGATCACCGGTGATCGATTCTGCGCAGATTTTGCTCATCTCAAACAAGCTCTGTCGATTTTTGCTGCCTTGTCAAAAAATGCTACCGTAGCGCGAATTGATCACAGAATGCTGATTAAAGTCGTATGAAATACAATTATAATACAATTCCAAGTTATGAGTATAGCTACTGTATACTGTAGACTACAGTTTTTATTTTTTAAATGGTGTGAAAAGTAAAAATGATCATAAAATATTCATCTTTGACTTGTCAAAGTACACCTTTCCTCATAGTAACTGAAACTGTTATTCTTTTTCAGCTGGCTGACCATACAAATATTCATGGTAGTAAGCATTTTTAAAGGGAAATTATACATTATAACAGGAAAAAAAAAAAACTGTGAGTCTGCACATGCGCAAAACCGGTAAGGAGCAAATCTCGATGGGTAGCATGAATCGTCAGATCACCTGCATGCATCTCGCGCTGATCACCGGTGATCGATTCTGCGCAGATTTTGCTCATCTCAAACATGCCTATAGGCTTGTTTGAGATGCGCCTCGCCTGCAATGTAGTCGAGAGTAGGCGGCTGCAGTGAGGGGAGGAGTGAAAAAAGCGCAATCAAGCCGGACAGATCTAGGGTTCTCGCAGTGAATCAGACACCTGTGAGATCAAAGGCGGATATCGCGGGATTAACGGGATTCACGCTCGTGCACGTGTTGCTAATAAACTGGATGTGAGTTCTGTTGCTTTTATATAAAAATAAATAAAATGTAAATAAAACCCAAACTACTTGTTATTTAATTACATTCCAAATAGCCTATGGTTTATCAATCTTTTTTTTTCTTTAATACAGACGTGTTTTTATATAGCCTATTGTTTTAACAAAAATGAAATATAACCCATATGGCACTGTCAGATAGTTTATTCACCCATAGCCTATGTATACACATAAAACATGATATCAGTTTTAAAATCAAACATTTTAAAAGAGAACAATTCATCTGGTGTTCTTTTATTTTTATTTTTATTTATTTTACTTTTTTATTAGAATGCAAGTTACAAACATAGCCTACCTACAAGCACCACAATTCGTGAAACAAATAGGCCTATTATACAGCGACAAATACATAAACATCAGAATAAAATTAATAATAAAATAAATAAATCAATCAAAATAAGCTTAGCTTAAATAGACAGACTTACAAACTTCATCATCTATAAAATGAGAGCTATTTTTCACTTGAACATTTTAGAGTAGGCCTAGTATATTTGAGTTACTGACTATAGCTTTCTTATTTTTAACCCGTTTAAGAGATTCACAATTAGATCAGTTTCAATTTGAAAACAATAAATAAATAAAACATGGCCTTGATTTGGAGAATTTAGCTTAATGAATATGGAATTTACCTTCATCACTGTTGTTTAAACCAATGAGCATTAAGCTGTGTCGTCAGCAAGTCGTTTCCCATCATGCTTTTGATCAGCGCAGTCGGTGGAGAGCAACTGCGCGCGACTGCAGAATCCGACCCTTCCGTCTTGCGCTCGCGAGAGTTTTTTGACATACGTCGGCATGACATCAGAGCCAGGCGGACCGTTCTCGGACACATTTCTAACCGGCATGCATCTCGCGCTGATCACCGGTGATCGATTCTGCGCAGAATTTGCTCATCTCAAACAAGCCTTATTACTTTCTCTTTGACGTCGACGCGTCGAGCAGTATTGTTGTATGAAGACCTACAATGATTTGTGGTGAAAATGGAGCTCAGCTGGCTATTATTGTTCTGGTGTTTGCTCGACCGTGGTAAGACATGTTCGCGTTTTTTAAACCGAAAGTGAGTCATGTTTCTAAACGTAAATGCATTTTAAATTTGTATTTTGCTGTGTGTGACCAAGACATTTAGGCTAGCAGATATCCCTGAACTCACTTTCAAGGGCATGACATCATTAAAACACACGTAGCACATCAACACATCAATAATCAGCATGAATTTATGAACACTGATGATATGAAGCTTCGTGCAGCATCATGGATGACCAGGCTGGTACCCAGGATGCACTGCGGCTTGAATTAGTCATGCAGCTGAATTGTCTTTTATTTGTGAGTTTATCTGAATATGTTGTTTATGTTCGAGTGTGTCTAAATGAGGCAATAGTAAAGTGAACCTTCTGTGCACAATTTGGAATCCTTCAGGCTGCAAACACTGCTGTATCTCATGCTAATGATGTTCTTCTGCTGGCTGTTTGCATATTACATTGCTAATCCAGGTATTCCTGTTGAATTCATTTGTTTGGTTCACGATTAACTGTTCATTTCTTCTTTAGGGGCGTCTGGTGTTGATACAGATGGAGTGTCAGTGATGGAGGGAGATCCAGTCACTCTAAACACTGGTGTTCAAACAAGCCAACAAGACAGAATTAGATGGTATTATAATGACATCCGCATCGCTCAAATCAATAGAGACCAGAGTAAGATCTGTACAGATGTTCAGTGTAATGAAGATACTGAGAGATTCAGAGACAGACTGAAGCTGGATCATCAGACTGGATCTCTGACCATCATGAACATCACAAACACACATGCTGGAGTGTATAAACTATGGATCACCAGCAACAGCGACAGTGAAAAGATCTTCAATGTTTCAGTTCAAGGTGAGTCATTATGTTTAAAAGCAAGTCTTATATATTTAAATCACACCATTATGTGTTTACTGATTTTGTGTGTTTTTCTATTTACCTGTATATTAATTCACAAACAGTATATAAAGATAATTTCTTCAAAACTTGAAATTTGTAGATTTAAATACATTTTAATCATAATCCCTCTGCTTTAAGGAAACCAGGGAACCAAAGTGTAGAGGATTAGATCTCAGATATGTTACAAGCACAAAATGTGAATAATTAAAGCTTTTTAGAAGGAAAGACAAGAGAGCCTGTTTTATCTCTTTCATATAATCCATTCTCTCATGTTGTGTGTCTGTCCCTCAAAACACGATCCTCTCAGCAGCTGTTAGTTTGTGTTTCAGGTGTTTCTGCTGCTGAACGAGAAGAAGTGAAGAGAAAGGAGGGAGAATCTGTCACGTTATATACTGGTGTACTAACAAAACCAATTCATTTTACGACATGGTATTTTAACGACATTCCCATCGCTGAAATGACTGGAGATCAGAGTAAGATCTGTACAGATGTTCAGTGTAAAGAGAGATTCAGAGACAGACTGAAGCTGGATCATCAGACTGGATCTCTGACCATCACACACACCAGAACTGAAGACTCTGGAGAATATAAACTACAGATCAGCAGCGACAGCAGTCGTCATCGACGCAGCATCATTAAGAGATTCAGTGTTTCTGTCACCGGTGAGTCTCATTTAGTCATTCAGTACATTTTCCTCTGAGCAGTTTTAGAAATGTATTCACTATATTTAAATTGACTCTGTTTGAGAAAGTGAGCTTTTTCACTTAACAGTAAAATATAATTGATAATAACAAAAACAAAGTCTATTGTTAATAAAAAATAAAAATGCATAATATCATTCAGTTTACCTGTTAACATTGTTTCCTAATGATCTCTCAGAGCTGATCCCGTTTTAACTGCAGTTTCTCAAAAACACACCAGATGGCGCAATGTACAAGTAAAATCATGTCATGGAACTGAAAATAGATCTAAATGTCAGTCAACCGATTTGGTAGAGTTGATTATTAGTTGATCTCTATTATTAATGACTGTGTGTCTTTTTCTGTTCAAGATTCAGGTTCATCTTCAGCTGTTATAGCAGGAATGAGTGCTGTTGTTGTTCTGCTGTTTGTGACTGTAGCAGTCGCTGTGATTTGCTATCGCCCCAGGAGATCTGCACAAATAGGAAAATATGGCAAGTATAACATAAATCTGATAATACAAAATGTAAATATGAGATTTATTGTGCAAAAATAATCTTTACAAAAATGTTGAAGTATTTGTTTGTTTTCTAATTGACCAAAGTAAAAATTTGTGTTTTTCAGGCAGGAGGCGATTCAATTTACAGGCTTCGGGTGAGATACTTTGAGCACTAAATCTATCTGCAGAAAACTGAATTTACAGCAGACTGACAACTGTGAGAACTGTTAAAGTGAATTGGTGTGACAGTTTCCATTTTTGTTGAGTGTTAATTTTTTTATTCTTATTATTGAGAGGAAAGTGTGCAACACATTTTTTCATATTTATCTAAACTCGCTCTCAGCAGTGCATGAAGCGTCTGGATGTTTTCATACAGTTTATTGAGTGTCTCAAACATATTTTTACCTTTAAGTAAATTAGGAAAAATAATTTCATCATGTATCTGTTTGTGTTTTCTGAGTGAATGTGAATTGTTTGTTGCGAGAGCGCTGATCTTGAGCTGTTATACTTCAGAATGAAGAACAAGGGTCCTTACATTCAGTAAACATCAGAGGTTGAAACACATTTCTCTGTTACTGAATCATCAATCATGAACATTTGTTTTTACTACTGTGACTGTTTCTTTCAGAAGATGACGAGGCGTCCTGTGAGAAGAACAAGCCTCTACTAACAGGTGATCCTAATGAAGCAACAAATGATCAGAACGAGCCTCTGTCAATGACCGTCCTTAAAGTGGCGACCGATGATCAGAAAGAGTCTCTGCAGACGGCTGTCTCTACAGTGGTGTCCGAAGGTCAGAAAGAGTCTCTGCAGACGCCTGTCCCTACAGTGGTGTCCGAAGGTCAGTCTCTGCAGACGTCTGACTCTACAGTGGTGTCCGAAGGTCAGTCTCTGCAGACGTCTGACTCTACAGCGGTGGCCGAAGGTCAGTCTCTGCAGACACCTGACTCTACAGTGGTGTCCGAAGGTCAGTCTCTGCAGACGTCTGACTCTACAGCGGTGTCCGAAGGTCAGTCTCTGCAGACACCTGACTCTACAGCGGTGTCCGAAGGTCAGTCTCTGCAGACGTCTGACTCTACAGCGGTGTCCGAAGGTCAGTCTCTGCAGACGTCTGACTCTACAGCGGTGTCCGAAGGTCAGTCTCTGCAGACGTCTGACTCTACAGCGGTGTCCGAAGGTCAGTCTCTGCAGACGTCTGACTCTACAGCGGTGGCCGAAGGTCAGTCTCTGCAGACACCTGACTCTACAGTGGTGTCCGAAGGTCAGTCTCTGCAGACGTCTGACTCTACAGCGGTGTCCGAAGGTCAGTCTCTGCAGACGTCTGACTCTACAGCGGTGTCCGAAGGTCAGTCTCTGCAGACGTCTGACTCTACAGTGGTGTCCGAAGGTCAGTCTCTGCAGACGTCTGACTGTACAGCGGTGTCCGAAGGTCAGTCTCTGCAGACGTCTGACTCTACAGCGGTGTCCGAAGGTCAGTCTCTGCAGACGTCTGACTCTACAGCGGTGTCCGAAGGTCAGTCTCTGCAGACGTCTGACTCTACAGTGGTGTCCGAAGGTCAGTCTCTGCAGACACCTGACTCTACAGCGGTGGCCGAAGGTCAGTCTCTGCAGACACCTGACTCTACAGCGGTGTCCGAAGGTCAGTCTCTACAGACGTCTGACTCTACAGCGGTGTCCGAAGGTCAGTCTCTGCAGACGTCTGACTCTACAGTGGTGTCCGAAGGTCAGTCTCTGCAGACGTCTGACTCTACAGCGGTGTCCGAAGGTCAGTCTCTGCAGACGTCTGACTCTACAGTGGTGTCCGAAGGTCAGTCTCTGCAGACGTCTGACTCTACAGTGGTGTCCGAAGGTCAGTCTCTGCAGACGTCTGACTCTACAGTGGTGTCCGAAGGTCAGTCTCTGCAGACGTCTGACTCTACAGCGGTGTCCGAAGGTCAGTCTCTGCAGACACCTGACTCTACAGCGGTGGCCGAAGGTCAGTCTCTGCAGACACCTGACTCTACAGTGGTGTCCGAAGGTCAGTCTCTGCAGACGTCTGACTCTACAGCGGTGGCCGAAGGTCAGTCTCTGCAGACACCTGACTCTACAGTGGTGTCCGAAGGTCAGTCTCTGCAGACACCTGACTCTACAGTGGTGTCCGAAGGTCAGTCTCTGCAGACGTCTGACTCTACAGTGGTGTCCGAAGGTCAGTCTCTGCAGACACCTGACTCTACAGTGGTGTCCGAAGGTCAGTCTCTGCAGACACCTGACTCTACAGTGGTGTCCGAAGGTCAGTCTCTGCAGACGTCTGACTCTACAGCGGTGTCCGAAGGTCAGTCTCTGCAGACGTCTGACTCTACAGTGGTGTCCGAAGGTCAGTCTCTGCAGACACCTGACTCTACAGTGGTGTCCGAAGGTCAGTCTCTGCAGACACCTGACTCTACAGTGGTGTCCGAAGGTCAGTCTCTGCAGACACCTGACTCTACAGTGGTGTCCGAAGGTCAGTCTCTGCAGACGGCTGTCCCTACAGTGGTGTCCAAAGGTCTGAAAGAGTCTCTGCCGAAAAAAAAGAAAAAAAAGTAAGGTACCAGAGACTCGACTGCTGTCGCTCCAGTGGCGTCTAACCATCTGGCGTCTAGCAGCAGTAAATACAAGAATGCTTGAGGTTTTCCAGTATGTAATGGTGGAGGGATTATTACACTAGTTGACTCAAGAAAGCAACATTGCAGGATTATTTTTTTCCTAGTGTTACCATTTCTTTAATCATTGTCAGGTACACCGAAGACCCCATAATGCACTGATCTGCTGTAATCAAATCTTAAAGGGGACATGTCATGCAAAATCCCCTTTTTTAGCCCTTAAATGCATTTTGTTGTATATTTGGAGTGTTTATAAGTACAGAAAAGATGAAATTTTTCTCTTCAGGTGCTTCGTTTATATCTTTATATTCTGTTTTGGTCATATTTTTCAACCTGTTCAGATTTTTCTGTTTTCTATGACGTTTTTTTAACTATAACGTCACCGTATTTGCAGCGGAACTGACGAATAAGGACATTGACTACCGGTCCAAAACTTCGAGCAATCCGCCATTATTATTTCTCGCTCCGATTTTGTAGTCCGAGCTCAATGATGCAGAAGTTATGGGAGGGCAAGTCAAAATGTTCGGTTTTTGGATGTAGTGACCTGAAGCACTTCAACAACCTCCGCCAGTAACGTCATACAGAAGGGTTTGCCGATTGACTTTGTCTGAATGAGAGGTAAATTCCTTCTATCTTTGAAGATGACGAACAGAGCTTTTTGATAAGCTGTAAATATCGTTAATAAAAATAAAGTACTTTACTTTCTTAAAACACATGGTGGTCATGGTTTAGCAGTACCTTTGTCTTTCTTTGTTTTGGTTTTGACGTAACGTTACACGTCTGCAGAATTATTGTTCTTGAGTTTCATCAATGGTCATTTAGCTGCTGTGTTTTCTGATGCTTTTCTAAACGTATATATTATCAATACAGATTGTTTGTGGTAAGATTAGACCGTAGTCATTTATCTTGTCAGTGTGCTTGTTTTAACAAGAGAAATAGTCGACTTTCACTAATAACACAAAACAGTTAACTCGCATACCAATACATCCATATGAAGAGGTTGTTCTGCAGGTTCGTCGTCGTCTTTATCAACTCGCTCGCTATTGCTCGAATATGTAAGGCTTGATGGACAAGTCTTCTGTTGTTGACATTTTATTAACGTGTGAATAAAAATGTTCTTTGAAGGTATTGTATATAACCGTATATCTCTAATCAAACTACAATAATGGCCGAACGTGGGGAGTTGAACTGACCGTGAACTCATCGACCTGGAGAGCGGGCGGGGTGTGACGCGTCTCCTTTTTATTTAAAGGGGCCGCTTTGAAACGGGTTGCTCAAAGACGCACATCAAAAAAAGGGGTAGAAAAGGGGCTTGTAGAGCTATAATAATAAGGAATTCAGACCCAAGCATTGCAGTTATGTTTTATATAGACCACAACGGTATGATTTATATGTAAAAATGAATGATTTGAAAGCATGATATGTACCCTTTAAGTAATATCATACTGCGCACTGCAAGTGTTCTTCACAGATCATATGCACAAAAACACATGAGAATTTGAAGGAATTGCCTGGATCATGATGGGATTTTAATATATTATAAAACATAATAAATTATTATAACGTGTTAATTATGCATGATTATGCAGTTACCATAGGTATTAGTTTAACTATTATCATTTGGCACTTAAACGATCCTTTGGAAAATCTCAAGTTACCGATTCTGCATGGCAGATGTTTTTGTATTCTGAAATAGCTGTTTTAAAACCTCTTTACTGACATCGCTAACACTGTTCTGCTGGTTTTAAACAAGTGCAGTGTATTTCACATTTAACATTTACATTTAATATTTTAGCAGATGCAATTATCCATAACGACTTGCATATGAGGAGAGTGATAGAAGCAGTTTAACTAACAATTTTTTTTTAATACATTTAGATTTCTTTTTTTAATACTTGACTAAAAAAGTCCTAAGTGTCTTCTTTTAAAATAAAACTTGAGTATGACTTTATAAATTGTAATCTTCTTAAGTTTAATTATGTCATATTCCAGTGTGTGCTCAAAAATAGGAATGACAGGAAAGAGGCTAGTATTGCTCTTTTATGGCCATTTCTTGTGATTCTTTTTTAAAGATTTGTTATTTATATATATATTACCATTTAATTAATATTTATGCTCATTTTTATCAATATTAATATAAGAGTAAATTGTAGTTCAAATGAAATATGCTTATTTATTTATTTATTTATTTTTATCTAATGTCTAGCAGTCTCTAACAGAGTCTGGGCCGGCCCTGTACAGGCTACTGAATGTTCTTATCGCCTGCAAAAGTGGATGTTTTTCTTTGTACTTTCTTGTTACAAAAGTGTTGTAACCTGTAACATAGTGCCTTTTGTGAAGCATTTAGTATGCTGATTCATGTGTGTACTGCTGAGTTTATGGATTTTTTTTGTGTGTGTATTTCCGCAATGAGATTTGTTCCCTTACGCGCTACAACTGCGAAATCCCTGTAGATTCACGTGTAGTGCTAATGCTATTGTGGAATAAAATGGAAAACACCTGGTTAATGAACACTTGCGTCTCAACATAGAGTTATTCAAGCGAACAGAGTTTCTGGAATGTGATATTTTTGTTTTTTACTTACATGAACTAAACTTTCACTTTAACAATTTTAACATAGGATTCAGCCTTTGATTTTCAATCAAGCTAACTAGATGTTCAAAACTAACTAGATGTTCAAAACTAACTAGATGTTCAAAACGGTTTACAATATGAATACACAAGTCTCTAATAAACTGACTAAACATTTTTATTTTGTCTATTTATTTTAGATGAAGTTGATGGCTCTTTTTGGAAAGATTTCATGACTAGATTTCGCTGTTGTAAAGTGTATACAGTAGATTATTTGTCGATAATTATTAGATTATTTCCGATAGATTATCAGACACATATTTGATTATAACAGACTTTGACTTAATTTTAATTAGAGTTAAAAGGAATAGTCAAGCATTAATGTATTTAATGATGCACAGATATCATTGATAAACCTTTTTCATTTTATGGCGTCAGATGAAACGAGTTAATACATAAGATTAAATATGTTGCATTTAATTAAATATCACTTTGCCATGGGAAAGACGTAGCACGCGTGAAACCTTCGCCTCAAATCGAACGCTGTCTTTGGAACGATTTCGTGGGCCTTTACAAGCCAAAAGTGACATGTACAGTGTCAATACGTTCAATACAGCTGCATTCGTTGTGGATTGAGAGGAGGTCTCTGGGATGGAATGGCCAGGGTGGATGAGGGGCTTTTCTTGTGGAAGGGGGAGTGGTGGGGCAAGGAAAAAAAGTTTTCTCTTTTTTAGCACACACTAATAAAATTATGTTAAAGAATTAAAATACTCAAAGACTAAAATACTTTTTTGGTGTTTTTGTGTTGTTGTTGTTGTTTTCTACAATCGCACAGACCCAGATTTGAATTAGAATCTGCATTCATTTGGAAAAAGTGGTGAAAATGAAGCTTATCTTTAATTTTCTCAGGGTGGTCTTCTTAATACACATCCACGGAAAGACATTTGTTTCTAAGCGTCCTTTCGACGGTTTAAATCTGCTTTCCCCCCAACAAACCCTGAACGCGTCAGAGTAAAAAAAAAAAGCAGATCACGAAACGTCATTACGTCATCGCATTACATAGCCCCAGCTTCAAAAATATTACTTTCTCTTTACGTCGACGCGGAGCAGTATTGTTGTGTGTGAAGACCTACAATGATTTTTGGTGAAAATGGAGCTTAGCTGTCTATTATTGTTCTGGTGTTTACTCAACCGTGGTAAGATATTTGGGCGTTTTTTTAAACCGAAAGTGAAGCAGCCATGTTTCTAATACATTCGACGTAAATGCATGCATTTTTCATTTGTATTTTGCTGTGTGTGACCAAGACATTTAGGCTAGCAGATATCCAACATGAACTCATTTTAAGGGTGTGACATCATTCAGACACACGTAGACATTAGGAATCAGCATACACTGATGACATGAAGCTTCATGCAGCATCATGATCGAGTACCAGGCTGGTACCCAGGATGCATTGTGGCTTGAATTAGCATGAAGCTGAATTGTCTTATTTTTTATTCTTACTATTTATTTTTATTTTTGTTATAGCTTGGTTTGTGATGATGTGAGTTTTTCTGAATATGTTGTTTATGTTCAGGTGTGTCTGAGGCAATAGTTAAGTATTACTGTGCACAATGTGTATTTGGAATCCGTCAGGCTGCAAACACTGCTGGATCTCATGCTAATAATGTTCTTCTGCTGGCTGTTTGCATATTACATTGTTAATCCATTCATTCCTGTTGAATTTATTTGTTTAGCTCATAATGAACTGTTCATTTCTTCTTTAGGTGCGTCTGGTGTTGATACAGATGGAGTGCCAGTGATTGAGGGAGATTCAGTCACTCTAAACACTGGTGTTCAAACAAGCCAACAAGAGAAGATTAAATGGTATTATAATGTCATTCGCATCGCTCAAATCAATAGAGATCAGAGTAAGATCTGTACAGATGTTCAGTGTAATAAAGGTAACGAGAGATTCAGAGACAGACTGAAGCTGGATCATCAGACTGGATCTCTGACCATCATGAACATCACAGACAAAGATGCTGGAGAATATACACTGAAGATCATCAACCACAGCGACAGAGAAAAGATATTCAATGTTTCAGTTCAAGGTGAGTCATTATGTTTAAAAGCAAGTCTTATATATTTAAATCACACCATTATGTGTTTACTGATTTTGTGTGTTTTTCTATTTACCTGTATATTAATTCACATACAGTATAAAGATAATTTCTTCAAAACCGAAACCAAGGAACCAAGAAAGTGAAATGTGTAGATTTAAATATACATTTAATCAATGCTTTTGCTTTAAAACATTTAATTTTTCTATTAGTTGTTCCTTTTGACAGTTGTTTTTGTTCTAGTACACATTATTGACAGTTTCTTATCACTGTTCATCTTTTAAAGTGATCTGCATCTGTTATTTCATACTCTGTGTTTTAAGTTCACCAGGAAACCCAAGTGTAGAGGATTAGATCAGATTTGCTACAAGCACAAAATGTGAATAAATATAGATTTTTTTTAAATGGAAAGTCAAGAGAGCCTGTTTTATCTCTTTCATATAATCCATTCTCTCATGTTGTGTGTCTGTCCCTCAAAACACGATCCTCTCAGCAGCTGTTAGTTTGTGTTTCAGGTGTTTCTGCTGCTGAACGAGAAGAAGTGAAGAGAAAGGAGGGAGAATCTGTCACGTTATATACTGGTGTACTAACAAAACCAATTCATTTTACGACATGGTATTTTAACGACATTCTCATCGCTGAAATCACTGGAGATCAGAGTAAGATCTGTAAAGATGTTCAGTGTGAAGAGAGATTCAGAGACAGACTGAAACTGGATCATCAGACTGGATCTCTGACCATCACACACACCAGAACTGAAGACTCTGGAGAATATAAACTACAGGTCGGCAGTGACAGCAGTCGTCATCGACGCAGCATCATTAAGAGATTCAGTGTTTCTGTCACCGGTGAGTCTCATTTAGTCATTCAGTACATTTTCCTCTGAGCAGTTTTAGAAATGTATTCACTATATTTAAATTGACTCTGTTTGAAAAAGTGAGCTTTTTCACTTAACAGTAACATATAATTGATAATAACAAAAACAAAGTCTATTGTTAATCAAAAATAAAAATGCATAATATCATTCAGTTTACCTGTTAACATTGTTTCCTAATGATCTCACAGAGCTGATGCCGTTTTAACTGCAGTTTCTCAAAAACACACCAGATGGCACAATTTACAAGTAAAATCATGTCATGGAACTGAAAATAGAAAGATCTAAATGTCAGTCAACCGATTTGGTAGAGTTGATTATTAGTTGATCTCTATTATTAATGACTGTGTGTCTTTATCTGTTCCAGATTCAGGTTCATCTTCAGCTGTTATAGCAGGAATGAGTGCTGTTGTTGTTCTGCTGTTTGTGACTGTAGCAGTCGCTGTGATTTACTGTCGCCCCAGGAGATCTGCACAAATAGGAAAATATGGCAAGTATAACATAAATCTGATTATACAAAATGCAAATATGAGATTTATTGTGCAAAAATAATCTTTACAAATATGTTGAAGTACTTATTTGTTTTCTAATTGACCAAAGTAAAAATTTGTTTTTCAGGCAGGAGGCCATTCAATTTAAAGGCCTCGGGTTAGATACTTTGAGCACTAAATCTATCTGCAAAAAAAAAAAAACTGAATTTACAGCAGACTGACAACTTAGAGAACTGTTGAAGTGTTAAACTGTTAAAGTGGTGTGACAATCATGCCAAAACCAACATGACATCATGAATTTTGTGTAAACATACACGCCACTTTCGAGTCAAGTGGCGTGTTATCAAGGGGGTAATGCATCGACCGAAAGTTGAAGCCTCGCGGAAGCTGACATCTTGTAGCAGAACTTCACTTGCGTTAGCATTCCCATTGACTCCCATTCATTTTGGCGTCACTTTGACAGCGAATAACTTTACATCTGAGGCGTTTGAAGACCCCATTTGTCCTTTATTTATTTCTAAAGAAACACGACAATGTATAAAATGCTCCATTACCTTGTAGCTTATGTTATGGCCCCATAGAAGCAGTTTTAGTGAAAGTAGGCTAAAGATTGCGTCATACCCACGCGACTCTCTGTCGCACAGTAGAGAGATTGCCATATGGACGGTAAGAAGCTTGCGCGCAATCGGGGAAACGTGGAGGCAAAATGACAAAATAATTAATCAGAATATCTAGCAGAATTGTCTCCTTCTTCTAGCTCATGGACAGCTCCTACTCACACTCTCCACCTCTGCAAGTTTCAGAAGGGAATGAATCAGATTTCCCATGCTACAGCACTAGAAGACAGGTTTGCTCTCGTCACATCTACGTCGTCAAGCTCTGTTTGAGTCTGCATCAGGGACAGAAGTGCTAAAAAATCGCCAAAAACGGGCTTCAATCGTCTCAATGGAGTTCCAATGAGATGGCTCTGTCCATTTCTTATACTGTCTATGGGTGTTATCTCTATGCATTTTGAGCTATCCGCGTGTATGTCTACGCCATTAATGTCAGAGTGATTCCGTGTGTATGTACACGCCATCAAATGTTGCATCAAAGTTTGTTGCGAGTTTGAAACCACTTGGTTTGTGGCGTTTATATTAAAGGTGTGACTTTTTTTCTCACCCCTGCCATTTTTGTTGAGTGTTTCTTTTTTATTCTTATTAATGAGAGGAAAGTGTGCAGGACATTTTTTCATATTAATCTAAACTCGCTCTCAGCAGTGCATGAAGTGCCTGGATGCTTTCATACAGTATCACGTGTCACAAACGTCTTTTTACCTTTAAGTAAATTAGGAAAAACAATTTCACCTTGTATCTGTTTTCTGAGTGAATGTATGTGTGGATTTATTCAGAAATAATCACAGATACACCAATTCTAATTGATTTATTTAAGAGTGCTGATCTTGAGCTGTTTTACGTCAGAATGAAGAACAAGGGTCTTTACATTCAGTAATCATCAGAGGTTGAAACACATTTTTATGTTTGTGTTACTGAATCATAAATCATGAACATTTGTTTTAACTACTGTGACTGTTTTCTTTCTTTCAGAAGATGACGAGGCGTCCTGTGAGAAGAACACGCCTTTGCTAACAGTTGATCCTAACGAAGCAACAAATGATCAGAACGAGCCTCTGTCAACGACTGTCCTTAAAGTGGCGTCCAATGATCAAGAAGAGTCTCTGCCGACGGATGTCTCTACAGTGGCGACCAATGATCAGAAAGAGTCTCTGTCGACGGCTGTCTCTACAGTGGCGTCCGATGTTCAGAAAGAGTCTCCGTCGACGGATGTCTCTACAGTGGCGACCAATGATCAGGAAGAGTCTCCGCCGACGGATGTCTCTACAGTGGCGACCAATGATCAGGAAGAGTCTCCGCCGACGGATGTCTCTACTGTGGCGACCAATGATCAGGAAGAGTCTCCGCCGACGGATGTCTCTACAGTGGCGACCAATGATCAGAAAGAGTCTCCGCCGACGGCTGTCTCTACAGTGGCGACCAATGATCAGAAAGAGTCTCCGCCGACGGATGTCTCTACAGTGGCGACCAATGATCAGAAAGAGTCTCCGCCGACGGATGTCTCTACAGTGGCGACCAATGATCAGGAAGAGTCTCCGCCGACGGATGTCTCTACTGTGGCGACCAATGATCAGGAAGAGTCTCCGCCGACGGATGTCTCTACAGTGGCGACCAATGATCAGAAAGAGTCTCCGCCGACGGATGTCTCTAGAGTGGCGACCAATGATCAGAAAGAGTCTCCGCCGACGGATGTCTCTACAGTGGCGACCAATGATCAGGAAGAGTCTCCGCCGACGGATGTCTCTACTGTGGCGACCAATGATCAGGAAGAGTCTCCGCCGACGGATGTCTCTACAGTGGCGACCAATGATCAGGAAGAGTCTCCGCCGACGGATGTCTCTACTGTGGCGACCAATGATCAGGAAGAGTCTCCGCCGACGGATGTCTCTACTGTGGCGACCAATGATCAGGAAGAGTCTCCGCCGACGGATGTCTCTACTGTGGCGACCAATGATCAGGAAGAGTCTCCGCCGACGGCTGTCTCTACAGTGGCGTCCAATGATCAGGAAGAGTCTCCGTCGACGGATGTCTCTACAGTGGCGTCCAATGATCAAGAAGAGTCTCTGCCGACGGATGTCTCTACAGTGGCGACCAATGATCAGAAAGAGTCTCTGTCGACGGCTGTCTCTACAGTGGCGTCCGATGTTCAGAAAGAGTCTCCGTCGACGGATGTCTCTACAGTGGCGACCAATGATCAGGAAGAGTCTCCGCCGACGGATGTCTCTACAGTGGCGACCAATGATCAGGAAGAGTCTCCGCCGACGGATGTCTCTACTGTGGCGACCAATGATCAGGAAGAGTCTCCGCCGACGGCTGTCTCTACAGTGGCGACCAATGATCAGAAAGAGTCTCCGCCGACGGATGTCTCTACAGTGGCGACCAATGATCAGAAAGAGTCTCCGTCAACGGATGTCTCTACAGTGGCGACCGACGTTCAGAAAGAGTCTCCGCCGACGGATGTCTCTACAGTGGCGTCCAATGATCAGAAAGAGTCTCCGCCGACGGCTGTCCCTACAGTGGCGACCGACGTTCAGAAAGAGTCTCCGCCGACGGATGTCCCTACAGTGGCGACCGACGTTCAGAAAGAGTCTCCGCCGACGGCTGTCCCTACAGTGGCGTCCAATGATCAGAAAGAGTCTCCGTCGACGGATGTCCCTACAGTGGCGACCGACGTTCAGAAAGAGTCTCCGTCGACGGATGTCTCTACAGTGGCGACCAATGATCAGAAAGAGTCTCCGCCGACGGCTGTCCCTACAGTGGCGACCGACGTTCAGGAAGAGTCTCCGTCGACGGATGTCTCTACAGTGGCGTCCAATGATCAGAAAGAGTCTCCGCCGACGGCTGTCCCTACAGTGGCGACCAATGATCAGAAAGAGTCTCCGCCGACGGCTGTCCCTACAGTGGCGACCAATGATCAGGAAGAGTCTCCGTCGACGGATGTCCCTACAGTGGCGTCCAATGATCAGAAAGAGTCTCCGCCGACGGCTGTCTCTACAGTGGCGACCAATGATCAGAAAGAGTCTCCGCCGACGGATGTCTCTACAGTGGCGACCAATGATCAGAAAGAGTCTCCGCCGACGGATGTCTCTACAGTGGCGACCGACGTTCAGAAAGAGTCTCCGCCGACGGCTGTCCCTACAGTGGCGACCGACGTTCAGAAAGAGTCTCCGCCGACGGCTGTCCCTACAGTGGCGACCGACGTTCAGAAAGAGTCTCCGTCAACGGATGTCTCTACAGTGGCGTCCAATGATCAGAAAGAGTCTCCGTCGACGGATGTCTCTACAGTGGCGTCCAATGATCAGAAAGAGTCTCCGCCGACGGCTGTCTCTACAGTGGCGTCCAATGATCAGGAAGAGTCTCCGTCGACGGATGTCTCTACAGTGGCGTCCAATGATCAGAAAGAGTCTCCGCCGACGGCTGTCTCTACAGTGGCGTCCAATGATCAGGAAGAGTCTCCGTCGACGGATGTCTCTACAGTGGCGACCAATGATCAGAAAGAGTCTCCGTCAACGGATGTCCCTACAGTGGCGACCAATGATCAGAAAGAGTCTCCGTCGACGGATGTCTCTACAGTGGCGTCCAATGATCAGAAAGAGTCTCCGCCGACGGCTGTCCCTACAGTGGCGACCGACGTTCAGAAAGAGTCTCCGTCAACGGATGTCTCTACAGTGGCGACCAATGATCAGAAAGAGTCTCCGTCGACGGATGTCTCTACAGTGGCGTCCAATGATCAGGAAGAGTCTCCGTCGACGGATGTCTCTACAGTGGCGTCCAATGATCAGAAAGAGTCTCCGCCGACGGCTGTCTCTACAGTGGCGTCCAATGATCAGGAAGAGTCTCCGTCGACGGATGTCTCTACAGTGGCGTCCAATGATCAGAAAGAGTCTCCGCCGACGGCTGTCTCTACAGTGGCGTCCAATGATCAGGAAGAGTCTCCGTCGACGGATGTCTCTACAGTGGCGTCCAATGATCAGAAAGAGTCTCCGCCGACGGCTGTCTCTACAGTGGCGTCCAATGATCAGGAAGAGTCTCCGTCGACGGATGTCTCTACAGTGGCGACCAATGATCAGGAAGAGTCTCCGTCGACGGATGTCTCTACAGTGGCGACCAATGATCAGAAAGAGTCTCCGTCAACGGATGTCCCTACAGTGGCGACCGACGTTCAGAAAGAGTCTCCGCCGACGGCTGTCCCTACAGTGGCGACCGACGTTCAGAAAGAGTCTCCGTCAACGGATGTCTCTACAGTGGCGTCCAATGATCAGAAAGAGTCTCCGCCGACGGCTGTCTCTACAGTGGCGACCAATGATCAGAAAGAGTCTCCGCCGACGGCTGTCCTACAGTGGCGTCCAATGATCAGAAAGAGTCTCCGCCGACGGCTGTCCCTACAGTGGCGACCAATGATCAGAAAGAGTCTCCGTCGACGGATGTCTCTACAGTGGCGACCAATGATCAGAAAGAGTCTCCGTCGACGGATGTCTCTACAGTGGCGTCCAATGAT